GACATCCACTGTCATGAACAAACTGTGGACAATCTGGAAGAGTGAGAGTCAAATTAAAACTGTACTGCTATTCTTTGTTCTTGGTCTCTTTATGTTTTGGAAAGTTGAGCTCTGAATTCTGAGGCTGAAAGAAGAATTGAAGCCTTTGAGAGTAAATACTACAGAAAATTGCTGGGCATCAGAGATCAGTAAAAGAAGACAAATGAATTTGTACTTTTACAATTCAACACACTCTGGCTGGCAAAAAGGAAGAACTCCTCAAACTGTGAAGAGATGAAAGCTGAGTTGGTTTGGTCCTATTATAAGACATGACTCACTGTCAAAAGGTACACAAAGAGCACAAAGGAAGGGTCATCCAAAGAAAAGCTGGCTGGATTAGGTAAAAGAATGGACCGGCCTCCCTCTTGATGTCCTGCTAAGAACAGCAGCTGTTCTGAAAGAACGGAGGATTTGGTTATGGGAATTGTCAAAGCAGCGCAAAGATGAAAGTCAATGGGCAGATGATGGGATATCATGTTTAGTACGAGATTTTGCTCTTGGTGTTACATTCAAGATCTCATAACTTTATCTTCTGTGATGTATTGTTGTTGATTTTTTTGTTGTTGTTTCTCTGTATTGTATATGGTAGAGCAGGTTACTAAAATACTGTCCAACTTGAAGGTAGCTCACATGAAACGTCTTTATTTGTCTGTCCTCAGTTACGCACACAGAGCCTCACATGATTCTGAGAGGTCATAGGTCTATCGTGAATCAAGTGCGTTACTGTCCTCAGAATCAGTTCATTATATCATCAGGCGTGGAGAAGTTGATCAAAGTAGGTCTTTTTAGTATGTTTACTTCTAATCTAGATTTTTGTTTTTAAAGAAACAAACTGATACCATGATTCTTTAATGTGACCTCTGTACTACACCTTGCTCCATCCTTATGTCTGCATAAAGAATAAGTTTAATTTTTGTTGACTTTCATTGTTAGTCTAGTCTAAAACAGCAATTGTGTATGTGTGTCTTAACATTTCATTTGTCAGCATTGCAATGCTCCACTGTATAGTGTATGTGTAAAACAACAATAGATACATTAAAATTTGAAGATAACATAACCATAACTTTCAAATACTTCATTGAACTAAAATACATTTGGAAAACCAAGTCTAAAAGTTGTTCTTTATCTACATACAAGTATTATTTCTGTCAAAGTCAAGCTTGGAATGGTTTACCTGACTCAGCAAGAATTATTAACTAAACACATCTAGGGTGTGGTGGATGAGTGGTAAATTGCTTGGCTTCTGAACCGAGGGGACGTGGGATTGAATCCTGATGAAGACTGTGATTTTGAATTTTGGGATCTTTAGAGCACTTCTGTCCACCCAGCTCTAGTATGTGCAGTTGGTCATTGTGCTGGCCACACGATGCCCTCCTTAACCATGATCCATAGAAACAGATGACCTTAACATCATGCATTCTCTGTCTCACTTATCTAAAGATCTGAAAGTTTTTTTTTGTTTTTTTTTACATTGAAATCTCTAATCAACATAAACTCTTAGATTAATACATGAATAATTGTAAATCTTTTGTTTTATAGAAGAATATGATGATTGACGGATGAAAGTGGAAACTAGTTTCAGATACATGAATAGTTAATGTCATTTTAGTCACATGACTATGGTTAAAACTTTATTATCTTTGTACAAACAGGTCTGGAGCCCTTATGCTCTTCCAAACTGCACTGGCCATCTTGTTCATAATCGTCGCTATGGTGATGATGATGAAGTTGAGAGGAACGCCTACAGCCATGAAGAATACATTCACATGGTGTTGCAGGCTGGAAGCTTCCTATCACATGACTACACCCGTGGCACCACAGAAGAGGAGCCCTGCATGATTGCTTTTTTTGACAGCCTCATCCAGCGTGAGGTTGAGCACAGCATTGAGCTTGAAGATTCAAGTTCTTCTTCATCTTCATCCTCTGGGGATGACCATGATGCTAGCAGAGAAAAAAATGGTGCAAAGGTTGATGGAAGAAAGAAAAAATTATTCCAGTACGACTCAGACAGTTCATTGGAAAGTCCATCGTCTTCCAACACTAGGCTAAGAGATGTGGAAGCAGCAACTGGTACCCATTCTCCTGATAGACAAGCAGAAGCGTCACCAGCCCGACAACGTGAGTCTGAGTCACCTTCATCTTCTTTTTATAATGATCTACTCTCCTCATCAGACAGCGACACTGAAGTAGAAGAAATATTAAGTGCAATGTACAGTCGCTACATGAACTCCAGGGAGAGACTTATGAGTGGGGAATCCAAGCCTTCTGGGAAAAAAATCTCTGCTATAATTGCTAGGGGAAAGCAGAAGAGCATGTCCTCAAAAAAGGGTGTGTTTCAGCGAAGACTGTTGCGCATTCGAGAAGATCTTCAGCACAGTGGGGATCAGTACTTAAGAGATAGTGCCAACAGCATTGGTATCTTAGTAGATGTGATTGACAATTTTGTTGATAATTTAGTCACAGGCGAGTCTGGTAACAACAGAAGCCTCAGTGACATAAGAGATGGTTTGACAGATTCCACTAGCAATTTTGCAGACGCTGTGGCTGTACCAGAGGATGTTGCACGCCAAGCAATAGTTCGTGAAACTGACAGAACTCTGGCTGAGACTCCTACCTCCAGGCAAGAGACCCAGTCCACATCTACTGCTATCTCAGCTCCCCCTGATCACCTAAGCTCACAAGAGGCTAGCATGTTTTTTATGCCAGAATTCCAAGCTTTTCCTCCAGAGTCTTTCCCTGCTGTTGTCAGTGTCACTTTTGACCAATCTCCATTAGATGCTGACAGTACAGTCTCAAAGGTTGTGGGCCCTAGTCTCTCCACAGTACAGTCTAAATGTGGCAATCATACAAGGCCTGACCCTGTTTCTTCAAAGATAAAAATTCTCAAATGTAATGGTGGCAATAGAGATGTGTCCTTGAAAGATGGGAATACACCACAGAATAGAACTCACACTTCTGTGACACAAGAGGACGACCTCACAAGTAAACCCAACAATGCAATAGACAGTTCTGCCTGTTCACAGAAGATTTCATCCATGTCTAGATTAGGTCACCTTAGGTCAGCCGTGACTACTTCTTCTATATTCACACCCATTACAATGAGCCAGAGGGACGCAACAGACCTTGAGACCCATAAAGTGACTACTCCAGACGCCACTCCAGGCACATCAGTTGAAGTTCATTTTAAAAAAAGCAAAATAAATAGAAAGAATATTCGCTATCGTCATCGAACAGATTCTGGGTCATCTAGTGAAGATGAAGAACGCTAAAATTGTGTGAGAAACTTTGTGTAATTAGATTATTTAAAAAATAATTTTAATTCATTGTAATAAAAAAGACAAAAAAAACCAATGATTTGTTGATATTCCCCAACTTCAATCAAATTTATTTACCAATAAAGAGTCTAAATACAAATAATTGTGCCAAAAAGGATTATAAAACACACACATATTGGTACAAAAATAGTCTTTCTAGTTTTCAGTCATTGCTTTCTAAGCGACACCTACTACTGTGGATACTGTTTGCTGGTAAAGCCTGTTAATGTAAGTCTCAGTGTCAGCTCCAATTGAAGACTCTAGAGATGAAAATTGCCCACCAGCTGTTGTGCACCCTGTTTGGGACAGCAGCATGGGCAGGGATATTTGCCCATTAAATAAAAATTTTGCTAGAAAAAAGTGAATATAAAAAGCACAAAATGTACTTTATTAATCTTTCTAACAACATTAAAAATAATCTCCTAATAGCTCACAATGATGTTTTCAAGAGTTTTCTACATCTCCACAAATCTTGGTATTTGATCAAGTAATGAAAGGAGCTTTTCAGTAAACTCAAAGAAAAAAAAGTTCCTTATAACTGCATAACAACACTTTTTTATTGGGACAAGTTTCTGATTTATCATTTTTGTAAAACTCACAAATTTGTGTGCATACACCTGTAACAACATGGCCTAAATTGTGCCAACAACTCACAAACACTTGTGTTAGTCAATTATATTTTGAAATGTTTTAATTATTCAAATGGTTTAAGGAATTATTAGATTATTTAAGATGATCCTGTTAATTGGAATTTTTAGGAACTGATTTTTTTTGGTGTTATTTTACTTTTTTTAAAAAATGTAGAAAGCTGAGACATTGTATTGGATTCAATAGTCACTAAACTGTTTCATTTGTTTAGACTTTTAACCCTAATTTTAAAATGACAAAAGTGGTAGTTGTTTTTTTATAAGTGTTTTTTGTCCAGTGAGAGTCCTCAGTGTATTTGTCACTTGTCCAGTGACTGTTATCTAGTGTATTGTCACATGTCCAGTGACTTTGTTAGCCAGTGTATTTGTCACTTGTCCAGTGACTGTTTGCCAGTGTATTGTCTAGTATTGATGTAAAAATAAGGGCAGATACATTACTAAAGTGTTATTATTAAAGTTTGTTTTCCAATTTTGTTTTGCTTGCCATGCTGCTCGTCTCTTGAAATTCATGCAGTAGTAAAAAGTCTGGTAACAGATATTTTTTAGTCCATAATGCAGTATATTACCAGTGCTTTGAAATTAGCACACACAATCAAGGTGCTATAGTTAAATTGATCTTGCAATATTTTGATGTTTTAAAATCTTTTTCACAATTCATAAATAATAATAAATTATTAATACTTGTTAAAAAATGCCTTAAATGACAAGAGTTGAACCCCTTGAATATGAAGTTCTGAAATCAACTGCAGTGCAACATTTTTGTTGTCTAGTACTTCAGACCTTACCTGAAGTGCATGATGGCTGAATTTGTGTGTGGGCATTGAAGACAAGTTTCCTGACTTTCAGTGCCTTTTATGTTGAGCTATTCAATGTAGTGAAATTTCGAGTCTATCTTATTAACTATATTGAAGGTAACAAGCATGGAAAAGAAACAAGGTTGAGTTTAATCATTCCCAGGAGTCACCTGGAAGTTTATTGGTTTAGCTTTGCAAGAGTAGTACATAAGCTACTCATTCATACATTCCTAGATCAATACTATTATACTACAGCACATCCCTCCTTATCAAACTATTCAATACTAATACACTAAAGCACCACCCTCTTCCTCAAAGAATTTTTCAAATGCAGTAATCAAAATAAAAAGCCCTGAAATGAGCATGTTTCCTAAGTACAGTACATAAACAAAATATCTTGATATTAGCTTACTTATAAAGTAGCCTACATCACTTGAAAAATTGTATGTCTTAGTGGTCATTGCACTAGACAAATGAAAATTGTCAAACTCATTAGATTAAGTTTTCAAAATTCAGGTCCGCTCGTTACAATGTCCAGAATATACAAATGGAGCATGGGAACTTGAGGTTGAGGTTCAGTAGATCTTGACCTGGCTTTAAGGTAGGATGATATATCCATAGATGGTAGTGTGACCTGGCTTTAAGGTCATTAAAGTAGGGTGATGGAATCTGGTGGTGAAGTTTCAATTGGAGAATTTTAATATCCTTCAGAACTGGAAGTAATTATTTCTCTAGGATCAGTATCAAGTCTCTTGAATGGTGGAGTGCTGATCAGTGTGTCTCCTCAATATGATGCCTTAGCAATAACTCTGCTGCACACATTAAAGGTCCTTTTTTTTTTTATCACAGTCACTTTTCTTGATTTGGTCTGCACTCACCTAAATGTTTATCTCCAATTTAAATATACTCTTAATTTTGCTTTGTAGTCATTTCTGGTCTGTTTTGAGCATGTCTAAACTAGTTCTAATGTATACTGTGGTCCAACTGTCTTGAAAAATGAAACTTAATACTTGTGAATCATGGCCTAATGATTTCATGATGTTTTCCCTTTGGCTGTATTCTTTCGATAGAGTCAGAGTTATTAGCTATAGAAAAGATTGTTTGCCAAAAATTTGTCTCTTTTTAGTGTAATCTTGTGTCTATTGGCATGCGGCTTAAGATTTTCCATGATCAAATTGAGTTGATGAATCCTGTTGAGAACTCAGCATATCTTTGCAGCTGGCATGGCTGGAAAACCTTTGGTTGGATAGAAAATGCATTTTAGTGGTACATGATCTGTGATAGAGCAAACTGTCTCCCACACAGATGAAAGAACAACATTCTTCACTGCCCTAACTATTGTTAAGGCCTCTATCCAATTGAGATTAAATCTTTTGTACTTTTTTTTTTTTTTTTTTTATGTTCTTGAGGCATAAGTTTTTAATCATTTTGTATTGTGGGATATGAAACTGCTGTAATGCCATACTAGTTTTTAAGGGTTTATATCTGATAGATGAATGACAGCCTGTTTTTCAAGGAAGAAACTTAGTATTTCATCTTACAAACTCAAACACTCAGTGCTTTTTTTTTTTTTAAGGTTTAAGGCTTTTTGAATAAGTTATTTTCTATGTACCATTGCTATGATGTTTTTTTTTTAGTGGGTCAGGGGGCTTCAGTCATTATTCTCATCTCAATGTTTAGAACTTTGTCTACTTTGATAAATTTGCTTTGTCTGTTCCGTGAACTCCCACTCTATGTCAGATTATAAAATGAATCTCAAGTCGTTTTTTTTGGTCCAGAACTTTTTACTTCTCAGAGTCCGACAATGTTTTCATAAGTTTGTTTTCTAGACCTTTTTTTGCAGTTATTTTTATAAGCAATTCCCAGGTTGTAAATGACTACAAGAATTATGGAACTATAATGTGTTGTTTTTTTCATGCTATCTTATGTAGTAATATTTTATCATAATAATAATAATCATTATTGTCCGTATGGAAATTTGTCTTACAATTTGTGCATTACACCAACCAAAAAACATTATTACTATAAGAAACCAAAGTGTACATTCACACCAGACTCACTCATAATTTACATGTGACAAAGTTTATCTGTATAACTAATTACAAAAGAACATTCAATATACATCCAGCAAGAAATAAGAATGAATAATGAAAGCACAAATTGCATGTTGCCACAGTGAAGCGCCAGTTTGGATAGAGGCCTTAACAATAGTTAGGGCAGTGAAGAATGTTGTTCTTTCATCTGTGTGGGAGACAGTTTGCTCTATCACAGATCATGTACCACTAAAACAATAGCTCAGTTTATCAAGAGATTCTTCATCCTCTTTTTATCTTCAAAACAATAGCTCAGTTTATCAAGAGATTCTTCAAGTTGTAATTTATTTAGTTCTCAGTAAAATTTATTTTGATATAACTTGCAATAGTTTCTGTTGAATAATCATCAGGTACTATCTTGAGATTGTAAAATATTTATTATCAGATAGTAGTACTATCTTGAGATTGTAAAGTATTTATTATCAGATAGCTGACTGAATGTAATAGTCTCTCAGGTTATGTGAAGCCTTACTTCAAAACAGTAAATATAAAGACCTACATCATTTATGACCAGGAAAAAAAATTTCAATATAAAGTAATTATGGTTACAAGTATATTATATCAGACTAACACAGACGCATGAATTTTAAATTGCCGACAAAACTTTAAAAATATGTTATGGAGATTTGATCTCTTTCCTTACTGAATCTTGATTTGTGCTATATTACTGTTCCTTCACCAGTGCCTATAGGTTTGGAAAATACAGCTTTATGTGAGACATGAATTCTAATTTAAAATAGGTTTGGCTCTGAAAAAAATGTCAAAGCCTCATGGATCAATGTCATTGAACTCTTCAGAGATTTAGGACCCAGCACCTTCATATTATTGTCATTGTTCAGTCTCAGTCTTTTGGTACATCTGTCCTCACAATGTAGGAAGCAGCCTTTGTGGATACACCAAAGAAAAAATTAGGAGGAACACTCAAAGGATCAGGAGACTGAGTCTCTATTTTGGCCATGTTGACCACTAGACCAGAGGCTGAGAACTGGGTCATGTAAAAGGTTATAGATATTGGGCCGATGTCACTGAGGTTGATAGACTTGTCCTTAGGGTTGATCAGCTGCAAATACAGTTTGTAATAGGAATACATTAGTTGATTTCATAAATATAACAATAAATCTAATTGAGAGAAAAAAGAACTATGGGCTAAACAATCAAATCCAAACAAATATGTTGTTTTTTTTTGTTTGTTTCAAAATGCAGGTTAAGTTAAGGGTTCACTTATTTCATTGGGTCAAATTATTGCAGACCTATGTGGACAGATCAATGACCCACCAGCTATACTTTTCAACTCTTACTGATGTATAAGTGAATAATGCCTTAATATTCTCAAATCCAGAATAAAGAAATGTAAAACTGGGGGATAAATTCTGGACTTTACACTTAGTCAAAACATTTGTCAGCAAGGGCGGTTTACTGCCAAGACTTTTAAAAGAGAAAATAAAATACCAGTAGTGTTGAGTTCAGAGGAAAATTTTTGTATGATTCTTGTTTATGTGGAAGTTACTCAATTTGATAAAACTATTTCGTGTGAGTTTCCAAAATGTTTCCTTTTGTGCTGAACAGATCAACATATTCAAATGGGTGGCTAATTACATTGTAAAAAATTTTGCAGAATTCAAAGATCATAAAAAGCTAATTTCTTATTAATCATTTACCAGACTTCCATCTGGAATGTAGTAAATGCTTACACTATATTATATATTAGAAAGAATTGGGACACCACTCTGAGCATACTGTAGTTCAATCATTTACTCTTCCTTTACTCAAACCTTATTTGGACTTCAGCAACAAAGAATGTGATCATTACGCCCAGATCAATCGTCATAGTAGGCATGAACTGATGTGGCAACCTGTGGTCAGAGGAGATCAAAAGGCCATTGCCAAATCCCAGGTCAGTATTCAAGCCTACTAAGATGATTGGTCTCGATTGCGTCTGTCTGGCAGTAAAAAAACTCCAAGACAAGCCAGTTCCCTTTTAGTGTAAATAATATGTGTGATAACTTGGTTCTTCTACTCTACTGTGATGGCTGGTACAACCGAGACAATTTTAATGTTAGGATCAACAAACTTTATCTGAAGTGCAATAAATTATCATCAACAACAGAACACAGGATGACCTCAATGTCCAAAAAACAATAATTGTATTTGGAATTCAATATGCAGAAAGTGAAGGAGATTGTGCGCTCAAATGAACAGGGATTTAAATATTAAGATTGCAAGTTTGGCTGGAGAGCAGAATTCCTTTAGTGAAGCCAAAGATTGAAAGTCTTGACCAAACAATTGAGCCTCTTACCCTAAATGTTATGAACGCCTCTGTTCCACCAGCTGATTTCTTCACTTCCCATTCAGCAGATGTTTCCTGAGAGTCAAAATGACTGGACTGATTGTCCCCTGACTTTGTGGTGGACACGCTAACATAGAAACACAAACCAATGTCAGTTGGAGAAAAATTCATTTTGCAAAATTTCCAAAACAAATGACAAAATAATAACAGTCAATAAAAAAAATGGCATGATACTAATTATGTACACAACACTAAGCAATCTTTTTTGTTGTTGTTGCTGTTGCAACATCAACTTGTAATATATGAAAGTTGTTAGAAATAATATCAAATTAATGATTGTATTAAACATATTGCCTACTTTCTGCTACAAAAATAATTAATTTCATTCATGAAAGCATTGAAACCTTGTGCTCAGACATAAGTCAATTGTAAAAACATCACATCAATTCATGTGGTCTCAATAAAATCATCTTAGTACCATAGCTAAAGGAAAACTTACATGCAAACACATGCCTAGTCTGTCTAAAAGCTTTTCAATAGTAATATTTCCAGTGTGCACATTACCATACTTTGAAATTTATAAGTCCTTTTAATATTTGTATGATTCCAGTGATATTGTAGGTCAAGGTAAACTTTGACTTACCTTGTCACCCAAGAAGGTAATTTTACTTTCACTCTGATGTAAGAAGCTCTGGCTCGGCTCTCTGCTTGGTTTATAAGTCGAAGAGAAAATTTATAATCTCTGTGCAAACAAAATTACATTTCAGGCAAGCGTTATGAAAATAAGATAAGAGATAAATGTAATTGTTTTTCCCCACAATCTATACTGAACAATACATGAGACACAAAATGCTGTTTAAATATTTTAAAGTGAAGAAAAACAATTGAGGGGTAACAGTAAATAAATGAGACAAATAAACACTACTATGCTGCCTAAAAAAACTTTTCATTTTTTTTTCTGCTATGTGTACAGCTCTTGAGAAGATAAAGTTTGTTGACCAATGATTTTAAAATCATAACTGAGCTATATGCTGGATAACTTTGGCAGTTTCTTAATCCTCTTGCCACATTGACAATATTGTCAAATCTCTCAATGCTAGGAGAATTCAACAAGAAATACCTCAAACACACAACACTGCCCCAAGTCTTCTGATTAACCAAACTTGTATATGACTGCCCCAAGTCTTCTGATTAACCAAACTTGTATATGACTGCCCCAAGTCTTCTGATTAACCAAACTTGTATATGACTGCCCCAAGTCTTCTGATTAACCAAACTTGTATACCACTGCCCCAAGTCTTCCGATTAACCAAACTTGTATACCACTGCCCCAAGTCTTCTGATTAACCAAACTTCTGATTAACCAAACTTGTATATGACTGCCCCAAGTCTTCTGATTAACCAAACTTTTAATTAACCTTTTCTCCAGTCTTCCCTCAGTCACCTTTGTTTTTGTTAACATTATTAAATATTTG